GGTTTATATCTGGGACTCTCCACCATTTGACCTTAGAACTGAAGAAGCTTCTTGGATGAAGGTGAAACGTCTTCAAGCAACTTAAAGAAGTCCAGACGCTTTTCTTTCCAAGCTCCTTTGGCTACGATGACCTGGATGACTGAGAACCTTCACAGACACATTTACTGTTATATTCACATAGATCATTGCGATGATGTTGTTTATTATGTTGCTCTCTTTTTCTTTGCTTGTTTTCTCTTTTTTCTTTCTCAACAGGTGATCCAGGTGATTGATATTTGTATTATTTGTCTGCTTATTTTGTTGGTTTTAGTTTTTTTTATCCCCGTCCCTCTTCCCCGCTCTTTTTCTTTCCCTCTTCTTTCCCCAGTCATGTCTGTCCCGTGTGTAGCAAGTGAAAATAAAATAAAACAAACAGTAAAAGCAAAGGTGAATCAAATAGACCAATACAGCATGGTCCATTTGGTAAAGTAAATCTGTTGGGCATCTTTCTTTGCCTTTAGACAATAATTCTGATGCCAAAAGAACCAAATGGGACAGGTGAAAACAAACATTGTTAGTGAAAACCAAATATTCTCCACCAGCTTCACTCAGCTACGTCAAAGTGCAAATAAAAGTATTTGATCCATCCTGTAGTGGACACTAAGGTGCAGTTATTTAATGATGAAGCTGTAAATCAGTCTGAACTAGTCTGACTTCAGCACCACGTTCACCTGTGAACTCTACAGGCCACCCCACAGACCGAGGCAGCAACCAGAGGAGTCTTACCACAGAGGGGTCCTCCATAGACAGCGGTGTCACCAGCGGTTTGCATTCCTCAGGTGTCAAAGCCGAGCTGCTGAGAACCAGCGCTGCAAACAGGAAATGGAAGCTGAGCCACAGATTCATAATGCTGATGGTCTGCAGACACCAAGTCTGACCCACTCAGCTTTTATACGAGCTGCAGGAGAGGCAAACCTGCCTGTTTGCACTGTTTGGACACAAAGGTTTTTCTGCGCACAGTTCAGATGTTTCTGGGCTTTCTCTGATTTCATAACCTCTGTTTGTGTATCGATCTCGCTCAGGTT